AAGCGGCCGTAATTTTAGTCCGATTTCAATAATTTTCAGCATTTTGCTTCTATGTGGCAAGTAGAATAACCACACCGAGTTTAGTACAAATTGGTAGAACGGTAACCGAGATATATATATATGTGATCACAAGTGGGCGGTGCTACGCCCATTTTCCAAAATTTTGTCATAAACGTATTTCTTGGTAAAGAATTGTTGCAATCATCAATTTTGAACACACTAGCTTCAAAATTTACCGATTTATCGAAGATTTCGTAATTCTCTAAATTACCGTTATATGGGATGTGGGCGTGGTTAGTGTCCGATTTTTGATAAAAATTTTCGGCCATTTCGTAGGTTATGTCAAGACCTACAACTGTGCCAAGTTTGGAAGAAATTTGTCCAGCGGTTACCAAGATATACACATGTAACCATAAGTGGGCGTGGCTACGCCCATTTGCCAAAATTTTGTAATATTCTTATTTTTCGTCTAAAACTCATTGTAAATATCAATTTTGAGTGAATTATCTTCAGTAGTTACTAAAATATCGCAGTTTTCGTATTTCTGAAAATTACCGTTATATGGGAGGTAGGCGTGGTTATTGTCCGATTTCGCCCATTTTCAATACCATCCGTCCTACGCCCAAAAGAAGTTCACGTAGCAAGTTTCGTTAAGATATCTCAATTTTTAATCGAGTTATCGTGTGCACAGACGGACGGACGGACAGACAGTCACCGCTTAATCGATTTCTCTTTTCATTCTGATCATTTATGTATACATTTGTCTATATCTATCTCGATTCGTTTTGCCTGTTACAAACAACCGTTATGTGAACAAAGTTATAATACCCTTGTGCACAAGTGCGCTCGGGTATAAAAAAAACAGTATTGTAATGCTTACATATAAGCAATCTAAACACAAAGAATACTTTGGTGAGTTTAGGGTTGCCCGATTTTTTATGCGCGACATCAATACGTTGGACTTTTTCATGCTAAAAATCAGTACTTTTCAGTACGTTTTTTCAAAGCAAAATTATGAATGTAACAGAAAATAATTTAAAACGCCATAGTTCTTGTTTTTAACAATATCATGGTATATAAATAAAGTATAGTTCACAAAAAATAAAAGTGTTATTCATTTGATATTTACATATGTTTGTATGTATGAACATATTTAAAGAAATAAATGTAAGCAATTGTGTGTAATGAATTTCTGCCCACATGCTAAGGCGAAGATTTTGGTATACATTTAAACAAATTTAACCTTAAAGCCACTGCACTTTTGCTAAGAACTATCTTGGGTCAAGTGGTGTGGCAAAAAATGAGCCTAGCGCACATAGGCACTTGGGAAAATCCCCTGCCTTAGCACCACAAACCTCGATCAATTTTTGCGTACATACGGTAATTGCGAGAACTTAAAGAACTTTATACTGCTTTGCTTGCAGAGAAAAACGGTATTTGCGCAGCCGCTAAAGCAGCATCTCATTTTCCTTCTAAAAATTTGTAAGTTTTTCCCACATTTGAATAAATAAATTTTCAAATCATAAATTTTCATTTATTTATTTTGAATTTATTTGACATTTGAATTATTTCGAGAGAGTAAACTCAAAATGATAGCAAACGTAAAAAAACCCCAATGGCGGACGAATTGAGCGAGCGGTTTTACCTTTAAATATTTTTATCAAGGAATTCTATACATTTCATTTTAAAATTACTTTTAATTTGAAGTTTACTTTCAAAAATTTTAATTAGAAGCCAGTTTCTCTCTTTTCGCCAGGAAACAAACTTTATTCTAAAGATCCTCTCAGTTGCTTCGCTCTAGTGTGGTATTGAAAAAAAAAAACAAATTACATATTTTTTAAAACTGTGAAAAAGTACCACTTTTTAAGAACTTCATCTATATTTCCTCATGGCTTAAATAATTTTTTCGACAACGCAAAAACTGTGAAAGACTAAGAATTCGCTAAAAAGAGTATCTAACTCTATGTTTTGTATGCAAAACTCGTTTACAATGTCAGTAAATTGAAAAAAGGAAATTGTTAGTTATAGGCAAAAGCCATTCGAATATTCAAATTTATTGTCATTAAGCTGAAAGTTATTTTCGAGATAGTTAACCCTCGACACAAATTTCCGCCTTTTTTTTAATAGTTTAAGCTCCATCATATTATCGCAACTGGTACGTAACGATCCGGCGATATGCCAATAAAATGATTGATCTTTTTGTTGTATTAATTTCTTGGACATATGAAACATTATCTAAAACAAGTCAACTATAATTAAATTACCATCTTCCTATTTTTTACAGTACAGTTTAAGAAAGTTCCAACGTTATGTAAAAACCTTAAGAAAATGCTAAAGTATTTTGAAAAATCAGGACATTAGCGTACTGATTGAAGAAATGAGTAAAATCAGTACAAGAGTTGAAAAACCGGTACTGTACTGATAAAATCAGTACGCCTGGCAACCGTAGGTGAGTGGTACCCGCATGCGTGTGAAACATATGCATAACAACGCTTTAGGTTGAGAAGTTTTAACTGGAATTTCATGTGGCTTGCGAATATTAAACCCTGGCATTCATTTGTCCTGTTCGGGCATTCTTTTGCCCTTTTCGTCCCAGAGTACACAGTTTCCAATAATTCCCGCGTTTTATATGAATAAATAAATCTCAGGGGCAAATATTTCAAAGGGTTGGTTTTTTATTACGAACACCAGTAGAAATCGTTCATTTTACGGATTGCGGGTCCAAATTCCAGAGACTTCAGATCAAGGTCATTTGTCTGCCGACCAAAGGGTTTTTACAAAAACACGGTTTATATTGTTGCCCACTAATATAATATTGAAAATAAAAGAAAAAGATATAAAAAATTGTAGTCACGTTTAACTTAGATCCAAAGCAGAAAATTTTCCGGTAAGTATATTTGTACCTTATGAACATCTTCAGGGCTCTTAAAAACCTATAAAAACGGTCGAATTTCGACAGTAACTGGCACTTCTAATGAAGTATAAATTGCCACTGAGCAAAAACGAATGAGTAAAAAAGCGAGTACAGCCCCGTACTCGTGATAGAAGTGAAACTACTGGCTACTCTTAGAAACACAAAATAAAAAAGTCAGAACTTTAGCAAACGATTCGTATGAATAAAACTATTTTCCGTCAGTTTTAGGGCATAATTTCCGTCACAAAATTGATATACAATGAACTATTTAAAACCATACGCAGAAGACGCAATTAGCAGAAACACTCTGATAGAAGTAAGTAATAGCTAATTTGGTCTGCGTACTTGTCTCACCCGTCATAGTGACAGAAATGCACATAACTCGTTTGGATTACATTTTTTTTTTTTAATTTTTGTTCTAGGCATTGTCCCTACCTCGGAAAACTAACAGAAAATAATCGTTTTTAAGAAATTATTAATATATTTTAAGAATTGAGCTTTAAAATGTAAGTAGAAATGTCACACCCGTCACCGTGGAATGAGCCATATGTTCTCGCCTGTTTTACGCTACAGCATTCTTTAGGTTGTTTATGATTTTCACTTGTTTTCATACGTGCTTACACATTAGCTCTGATCCAATACTTTTCGTGTAAAACCTTGTAAAAATGTCAAACAGGAAAATTATTCTCTGAAGTGAGAGTAAAAAGTGAGTAACAACAAAAAGTACGGGAACAAAAAAAGTATTTTTGCTGTAAAAACGTCAACCAGTGACCGCTTGACACTTTTCATGATTCTACCAGAAGAGAAAGTTCGGGTTAAATCTTGCAACTTCATTCTCTACGCAACTCTGCAAAAATCGCTCTCCGTTGCAAGATTTGAAGGAATCATTTTTCCTGTAACTTCCTGCAAGTTCGTGTAAAAACCTGTAAGTTCATGGAGTATTGGATCAGAGCTTTTATGAACGCGAGAATATTGTTGTTAACAGTATATGTATTAGGGATGCAGTCAAAAAAATACATCGATGTTTCTTTCTATTTGATGCATCGAAATATAGCATCGATTCATATCGATATATCTTATAAAACATCGATATTTTCGATGCATTGAATGAAAATATCAACAGTTTCTTTCAATTTAAAATAAACAACAAGAGAATGAAACAATCAGAGCTTCGATAAATGTTTAAGTATTAACACACAGTGAAATGTATTTATTGATTTCAATAGTTACAAATCGCAGTTTCTTGGTATTTTAAAAGCTTTCGGAAAACTTTTTCGACCACTTTTCGGCTACCATAAGCATAGTAAAATAATATAAAGTGTGCCTGTTGCGATTCTATTTCGGTACACTTATTTGGTAATTTATTTTCTTTCGTTTTAATTTTATGTTAACCCTTTTGAGTGAGAACTTATGAAGTTTTTTTGATTTGAGAAAAAATTAAAAACACATGTCAAGAAATTCTTTCCGCTCGTGCAAAAGCACACATAACGTTGGAGTACTTAGGTTTTCAGTCCCTCAGCATGAGGACCTAAACCGAAATCGGTCAGAGTTGTGCAACAAAACCAGAATTGAAAAAAAGCGAAAATGACAAACTCAAATTTTGCTTTGAAATAAGCGTACATCACTTTATATTATTTCACTATGTTTATAAGCTATGTGAAACAATTTGGAAATTGCTGTTTAAAATCTGCCCAAATTTCCAAAGGGTTTTAGAATGTCAATATCATATAAATTAATATAAATTTTTAGAAGGTTGTTTGGCACTAAACGTTTCTACTAATAAGTTAGCAATTTATTAGTGCAAATAACTAATACCTTTTGCATAATATTAAAATGTGTATTTTAATAGTGCATAAATAGTGAAGTTTCCGAAGTGAGCGAAGAGTTTGGAAGCATACAAAATAAATTTAATACGTACAGTGTACATTGCACACAAAAGTCGATGCATCGAAAAAAATACATTGATATATCGCTATATGTCGGAAGGTCCAAAACATCGGTTTTACTCGATGCATCGATAGCAAACATCGATGTTTCCGGAGTAGAACACACATCACAAATATGTAAGATCTCAAGCTCTGCTTACCTTAAAATTCAGTCTTCCCAATTTTTGCTCGCTTTGTTTATCCTCCTCGTCACCTTCTTCAGCATTTTCAGTGAGTTCCTCCATATCAGGCTGAACCTATGACATACCAGAACCCAATAACTACTAAGATATGATAGCGTTTTTGATACTTACTTTCTCTTTGTACGCTGATCCTAACAATTGTACCGATTTCATATCGACACCCTTCTTACCCTTACCATCTTTGGTCCGTCGCTTCTTCAAGAAACGACGTACACAAAAGAAGAGTACACCAAAGACAACGAGAAATACCAATATGATGATGGCCACCACACCCCATGTGGGCAGGCCGGTCTTCTCGGCAATCACTTCGGTGACCACTTCGCCGGCATGCCCGATTTTCTGGATGGTGGACACTGCTGTTGTGGTGGGCTCCTCTGTAAAGGGGCAGCAGTGTTATTTGAATGTTGAGTTCATTCGGTGTGAAGTTAATGCGTCTGTATGTAGCTAAAACTTATGTAAGTACAATGTATATCTATCTCACCCTCGGCTTCTGTTGTGGTTTTTGGTGTTAGGGTGGTTGCCTCTGTGAACATTTTTTGACTTTCCGCTTGCTGTTCTTTTTGTTTTTGCGCTAACTCACGAAATACCTCACGCTGCGTGGTTTCCTCCACCCTTTGGTCTGCCGCTTCCAGACTGGGGGTCGATTCCTCCGGCATCTGCTCTTGGGTGTTGGCATTCGTATTTGGTGGCATTTTGTGCTGCTGCAAGAAATTAAAATCATTATCAACTTAATTTATTGAGTTTATTAAAAATAAAGAAATGTTGATTTGCTCGAGTACCTTCGTATAACAAAAAAAGAGAGCTGTATACCTAGGGGACTCAGTAAACTTGTTAAGCCTAACGTAAAATAATGGTCAAAATAGTTTAACGGAATCTTGGTAGTCCAAATAAATGACAGAAATGATATCAAACTGATAGAAAAAATAGGCGAACACACCTAATATTTGCGTTAATGGTATGAAGACCCCAAGTCCATACACTCAGGGCCTTCACAATTGGCAGTTATATTTAAGGAAATCGTTGAATTTTTTATAACTGTTATTATATATACATACATACGCGTATGCATGCAGAACTGAATCATACCCAGTAGAAAAAAGAAGTAGCGAAAAGCAATTACAGAAGACCTTCCATTGAATATACAGGGACTTACAATCTGCACGATTTCCTTAATTATTTTTTTATGAAACGGGCCCAATTGCAACGCATCGCGTTTTCCCTTGCAGCTGACGATAACTTTGCCGCCTATAATCCACATCAAAAACTTCCTGAACAAAAATATATTCGGTTGGCCAATATATTCGGGCACGTGACGTAGATTAAGTTTAGATTAACTGACGGTCGCTGTGGTGTAGTGGTTAGCAGTGCGCGCTACCACTCCGAAGGGCCTGGGTTCAAACCCTGGTCAAAGCAACATCGCAAAAAATAGAAAAATGGTTTTTTCTTAACAGCGGTCGCCCCTCGGCAGGCAATGGTAAACCTCCGGGTGTATTTCTGCCAGCTTCTCATAAAAATACAATCGCCGTTCGGAGTAGGCGCAAAAAGTGTAGGTCCCTCCCATGGGCGTAGCCAGAACAAAATTTAGGGGGGTCTATACAAAAAAAAAAATCAAAACCAATAACTTACTTACAAAAAAATTGTTTATTGTAACATAAAACTATTGTGACCAATAGAGGTAAATATGTTGTACAAAAACACATAAACAGAAGTTCACAAAAGTTGATATAAAACTATTCATCGATTTTACTGAGCATGTTTATTTTACGAGGAGGAAGCATCGGGAGCCTAACGCCGTCACTGTGAGACTTTAACCCAAACTAAAGTTCCTACCGTCATGTATCGTTCCCCTCCCGGTATCACCTTCAAGGATTTCGTCGGGATTATAACACTGTGTGACTGATAAGGTTATACAATCTATTCTCTTCTTCTTCTAGTTATTTGGCGCTGTAACCGGCAAAGCGGTTTTGGCCGAGTTCAACAAAGCACGCCAGTGGCCAACGCGTAAAGGCCCGTAAATCTTCCGCAAAATCTTTCTCTCGAATACCCCAAGAGCCACCTCCTCATCCATGCTTCTGCGCCATATACCATGGTTTTTGTACGTCGAAACACTCCTACTGAATTGCCTACTTAGTCCAAGGTAGTACTTGTTGGGTAAGAGTGATTCTGTGTTGGATTTCCATGCTCACATTATTATCGGTGCTAATGCTGGTTTCCAAGTAAACTAAATTCTCTACTATCTCCAAATTATAACTGTCAACAGCGATGATGTCAGTGTAATCGGCATAAGCCAGAAATTGTTCGCTCTTGTATTAAATCGTTCCTGAGCGGTTCACTTCTGCAGCTCTTGTTATCTTCTGCAACATCAGATTAAAAAAGTCACATGAAAGGAAGTCACCCTTTCTGAAACCCCGTTTGGTGGCGTTCCTGGCAGAGCTGGTGGTATTGCTCAACGTCAGTTTACACAGCCGTATGAGTTTTGAAGGGATGCCAAATTCAGACATAGCGGCGTACAGGCAACTTCTTTTAGTGCTGTCGAAAGCGGCTTTAAAGTCGAATAGGTGGTGGAGGTCCATATTTTTCTCGCGGGTCTTATAAAAGATTTGGCATATTGTGAATACCTGGTCTATGATGGATTTGCCAGGTCTAGAGCCGTACTGATAAGGCCCAATGAGTTCATTGACGGTGGTATTCAGTCTTTCACATAATACATTCGATAAGACCTTGCAACCTATGCTTAGAAGGCTGATCCTGCGGTAGTTGGCGCACATGTCGGGGTCGCCTGTCTTGTGGATTGGGCGGCAGAGCGCAGTTGAATTCCAGTCGTCGGGCATGCATCTTATTAGCTCCTTGCCGGTAGCTCAAGCACCTTTATTGCTTTTCATCAGCATAATCGCTACCTCGTCATAGTCAGGCGCTGGGATACCGACTCCATTGGCATCGACTGGGGACTCGGGTTCGTCTTCTCCACTTCTTTCAGTGATTCTGCCATTCAAAAGGGTCGACAAGTTTCCCTCCATAATTTGAGTTTGTTCTGGACATCGGTCACTAGGTCGCCATGGTTGTTCCTACAGGAGTCTTGAAACCTTCGGGTTTTTTTCTGTCGGACAGCATCTAAAGCATTTTTGTCTGTAGCTTCTTAACACTCCCCATCGTACCAGTAATGAGCGGGAAATATGGTTCCACTGCTCGCGTATGCCGGTTTGTTGAAGGGTGCTCTCTCACAGCAGGTGAGAGAGTCGAGCGGCGAATCCATTTGCCGTCTGTTTTGATTGCAGCTTTTCGACGTTCAACTTTCCTTGCATTATTGGGGCCCCTTTTTTTGCTGCACCGAGGTGGGGTCGTATATTGGCTGCAACAATAGAGTGGTGCGAGTCGATGTTTGGCCCCCGGAGTGTAAGTATGTACATCTATGACAAAATGCTCGATTTGGTTTCCCGTTTTTCGATCTGGAGACACCCATGTAGCTTGATGGATCTTTTTATGCTAGAACCCAGTACTACATACTGCCAAGTTTCGGGCCCAGGCAAAGGCGATCAGCCTCAGCCCGCTGTTTCTATGTGGAGGCTGAATTTCCCGACACTGGCGCCAAAGATCCGTTCGGTGCCCACCTTAGCATTTAAATCGCCAAGAACGATTTGTATACGTTTCGGGGGCAACGCTAATATGTACGTTCTAAGTTAAGAGATCCTTGGACGCCTCGTCCTTCTCTTCCATCGGGGCATTGGCACATATGAGCGAGATGTTGAAGAATCTCGCTTTGATGCGGATTGTGGCTAGATGTTCGTCCACTAGAGTGAAAGCCGGTCTCTCTTACCACAACTCCAACACCGACTTGCGCTCCTTTACGTGGCAACTGTAGTAGATGTCGCAAGGCACCACGCTTACCTTCCTCAGCCCGTCCATCGCATTTCATTGATTTCCCTAGGACATCAACCAGCCGGGCCGTGGCACCTTCCCGGTATTCCAGGTGCATACCCTCGAATCATAATCGTTCTTATGTTTGCCGTGATTGTCTACAAAAGAAGCGGGTATCATACGAGGCGATGTGTTTTTTTTTCTTTGGGCAGGGTTTTAACGTGGTTTGACCCAAACCCAGCGCCGAAACGGGTGTTTGGTCGGTATCCAGAGGATTCATGTATATAAATATCCGGACGTAGTAAGCTGCGATTTGAAGCGTAAGCACACGAATCATGTCTGACCACTCCCAGGTGAATGGCAGTCAAAAGCTTTGCAGTACTGGGGAATGTACAAAACATAGTGGTCAAAGGCGAATATCTCAACTAAACCCTGATGTATTTTTGAAATTCATAGCTCTACATACCTGTATATTAAACCAAATAACCGGACCAGACGTTATTTAAAATAAAAAAGGTTAAAAAATTAACTTTTCCGTATAATAATAATAATAGATTGGCGCTTACACATATGTTAGTGTTTGGCCGAGCTTCTCCTCCGATTAGTGGCGTGCGCCTTGATGTTGTCACACAAAGCGGAGGGGACCTACAATTTTACGCCGACTCCGAACGGCGATTGTATTTTTATCAGAAGCTGTTTTTTATGGCAGAAATGCACTCGGAGGTTTGTCACACCGTGTAATAAATGAAAAATGCATTAAGGGCCATTAACTTATCTATTTTAAAGTATAGTCAAATCATTAGTTAAACTTAACTACAGAAAATTCTGTGTAATTTTTAACCGACTTCCAAAAAAGGAGGAGGTTATCAGTTCGTCGGAATATTTTTGTTTTATGTATGTTACCGCATAACTTTGGACCACGTCAACCGATTTCGATAATTCTTCTTGTATCGGAAAGGTAGTGTCTCAGAGCTGGTCAATTTGGTTTAGATCCGATCACTGGATCATGAAATATATATATAAATTTTTTTTTATATGAGAATTGAAGTCGGGGTTTTTTGCTAAAAATTACTTGTTGTGTAGTAAAGTTTAACAAATTATTTAACTATAATTTAAAAAAGATATATTAGTAGCCTCTTATATGCTATTTTTATTATAGAAATTTATGTGCGCTATGTGTTTTCTGCCATCTGCTGTAATTACTTAAGAAACAAGCGTCTTGGCTGTTCACCAAACCGGTCTATAGTTTTATGAATAATCTCAGATTGGTTCTGTGATACAAAACTTTCGATGTACGCTTAGAAGACACAAACCTAAAGACAAACTAATAAACAACTTGATACAGAACCGGATGATCCACATATCCACTTTTTAAGTCAATTTACTAATTATTTTGTTAGCATTGGGTGTATAATTTGTTATATAGTTTATATATATAGGAACAAAATTATCGAGCAGCCATTTCCTGGTACTATTTTTGAATATCTGGGCAAAAATTTGGAAGTAAGAGGGGGGGCGGGTCCGAGCCCTACGTGGCTACACCCATGGTCCCTCCCCTTTGGGTAACAATATCAAAAAAAAATATCAAGGCGCAAGCCACAAATCGGAGGAGAAGCTCGGTCAAACACTAACATGCACAAAATAAACAACACAAATATTTGCGCAAATACCAATTAGTACAAATAGGAATCGAGTAAGAATCTTATTTGAACCAATTGGTATTTGCGCAAATATTTGTGTGGTTTATTTTGCGTATTAGCGCCAATCTATTATTATTAACTGAGCCCTAACATTTCACAGATGCCTTTTGGCAATTAAGAAAACCCAATAACAAAAATAAAAAATT